GTATCAAACCCTTCCCTTATCTTGCGGATAGGGAGTGGTGAGAAACAGGCTTCTTATCACTAGATTCCATGTGGTCATTAAATGATGGAAAATGAAAGGGAGAGCTGTAATGCATAATGCTTTTTATTTTTTGCTTAGTAATTTATATTACTTTGGAACAAGATAGAATAAAAGATTTAAGATGAGATTTTTTTTTCTTTTCATAATAAAATGTGAAAACAATATTCGATTATAAAAGTTATTTTTATAGTAGCCACATTTTATTTGATGACTTGCCTTTGGACTTAAGAATCTTTTCTAACAATTTTATCCCATTTACAAAAAAAACTGCTCAATAAATATTTCGAAAGATTAGGTCAAAAGCCCTTAAACTAGTCTGTAGGGTTGACAATTAAGATATCATTTTTTTTCTATAACTGATCATTGAATTTTGTAGTGATGAGGGGAGGGTAGAATGCATAGTGAGTGACGGACAAGTACAAAAAAGAGTTAATTGTAATCCAAGATTTACATCTTAAAGTAGGAATAATCTTTAGGTTTTTCCATTCAAATTAGCAGATAGCCACAGTTATTATATTACAAAAGATTTCTGAGCTTCAAGTATTTGCCTGTACTTTGACTTACTAAGCATTCAAAAATATTTTCCTAACAGCATCATACTTTTATTTTCATATTGTATATTTTTTAAGCCGTAAGTTATCATGGAAGTTTCTTAACAGGGTCTTCTTCCCAGTAAACATGCAAACTGAAACATTAGCACCCATTTATTCAGCATCTTAGAAGAAATATGCTTAATATAGTAGATTTTCCTACATAAATCTTCACCCTTCAAATTCTAAGATCTTTTAGAAACCATTTCTCTGAAATCCTTTTTAAATATTTTAAACATATTTCTTATATCTTAAACTAAGAGTTTAAACTCTCCTTGCCGTGATAGGGCTAATCATTTTCTGCAATGTAGAAACAAATAGTTTCACCAGCTTTTAACTTTTATTTGGTTATGTTCCTAAATGCCAAACTGCAAAATGACCTTTGTCACTGGTGGGGTCATTGTATTGGCTCAGAGAGCCCTGCTCACCCCTCCCCTTTTAGTTTACTGAGAAATGTTGATTTATTATTGGCACTGAAACCCATTCACAAAACTTGTTTGGAGTTACATGTTAGATTCGATTTTATTAAGACTCTAAGTTAGAGTGTGAGAAGTAAAATCCTGTGCTTTTCAGAAGACTTCGTTGTGGTCGTATCAGGCACTTGGAGTATGAAGACAAAGAAATCTACTCCAAGGAATGGTTGTAAGAGGCAACAAGGAAAGGCATATGAAATGGATCTGTAGATGCCCCTGAGAGGTCCCCTTAGGGGCGCAACTGCCACAGGCCACACCACTGTTGTTCAGAGTTCCCCACTGCTCCATCCCCTTAGGCAGTGTGGCAAGAGCCAGTTTCTCCACAGGTTCACACTCATAACTGGGTGTTGAACAATGAGAACACATGGAAACAGGGAGGAGAACATCACACAACGAGGCCTGTCAAGGGGTGGGGGACTAGGGGAGGGATAGCAGGGGGTGGGGGGATTGAGGAGGGATAGCATTAGAAGAAATACCTAATGTAGATGATGGTAGGGGGATAGATGCAGCAAACCACCATGGCACGTGTATACCTATGTAAAAAAAACCTGTACGTTCTGCACATGTACCCCAGAACTTAAAGTATAGTTAAAAAAAGAAGAGGAGCTGCTAGAGCAATTCTAGTAGGCCCTTTGGTTTATTTATCTACCTAATTGGTATGTAGTTAGGTTGATTAAAGGAAACTGGGAAGAAATAAAGCTTTTTGCATCTGAGTTTCTCTGTTTTTAAATACAGAGCATTACTTTGAGCCTAAAAACGTTCATCACTTTCAACTTAGTAATCTCCCTTCTGGAACTTAACCCTAAAGAAATGATCAGACATAAGGCGAAAGATTTATGCATAAACACATTTTTCATTTGCTGCATCTCATATTCACATTAGTCAGCACAAGAAGCCTTTGGCTGTGTTCCAGAAAACATATTGCACCAAGATTGATAGGCACTGGTTTGAGTTTATTTAACTGTCAGGGGGTGGCTTTCTTTGTGAGCTGATTCCAAAAATTCATTACATACCTAAATCTTTGATGGGCCTCAGCAATGTAAGTGTAGTGTACTTGAAGGGCTCAAAATTGCACACAAACATTAGCAGATACCAGGGAAGGATAGTCCTGTATAATTTTCTACAATTTGGATTTTGTTGATTTCATTCCAGTAGTGTTATTTAACATGTTCCTCTGTCCCTTAAGTATCAGATGCAGAGGCCTGATCACATTAGAATTTAATTTGTTCCTTCCTTCCTTCTCCCCTCCCCTCCGCTCCCCTCTCCTGTCCTTTCCTTTCCTTCATTCTTGCAAAACTACTTCATAGGTGATGGTGTGTGCTTCCATCAAGAGGCATATAACATCTGTCTCATCTCTTTTTCTGTGTGTGTTAGCAGCTTGATAATCATTATGCTAGATCCATTAATTCATTAGGGATTGCAAAATGCTGACATCTAAATTGTTTCTGTCTTCACTTACTAACTAGCATACTTTTATACAGAGAAACTTTCCCTCATTAGCTATTTGGTTGTTTTGAAGTTCAGTGCAAATAGGAAAGGTAAGATAAATACTAGCTTTTTTCTTTTGCTTATCATTTTTCAAAATGATAAGTTGGTCCCTTGGCATTTTCCAAAGGTGAAAAATGAGAGTTTTTGTGTTTGTTTAGCAGTATTATGAGCTCTTGGATTTAAGCCATTGCAGTTATTATCTTTAGCACTGAAATTATTTCATCTTTGGCCAGTAGGAGTTTATATAGATAGGCTCCTGAGTCTTTTTGACATAATCCTAGTAGTCTCTGACAGTCTCCTCGCTTTCTGGCATGACATAATGTTGCAGCTCATCTTGTACATTTCCTGTCCCAGATCTCACTACGTTACAAGCCATAGTTTATTGTAGTGGGAATTGATGTTTTAGAAACAACAGTCTAGGTGTTGGGAGTGTTCATTGCTACTGGGTAGGTTATTTTTTCTAGACCTTTTCACTGGGCAGTACTAAGAAATGTTTTTGTAAAGATAGAGTATATCCAGAGATCATGCTTATAATTCCAAATCATATCTAAGACTACAGGGTTATTACTTCATCTCATCATCTTTACATCTGAATTTATTTATTGCAATGCTAAAAAACCTGCTTCTCAACAACATCAGCCTGATTACTCACTTGTTTTATCACATACTACAAATGTAATAGCTTTGGGATAACAATGCTAATACTAGGACTAGTTAAATTGTTATTGAAAAAAAATGTACAGTTCTTTTTATCTTTAGGATATATACCATTAGAAATGAACTATCAAATCACTGGGTTTTAAAATCAGAATAGTTCCTCTCCTTAACCACTTGTATACATATCTAGGTATTATTTGTATCATTTACTAATCTTGTCTCTGGTGCCATTCTTATTTCTCTCTACCCTAATATAACTAGCATTTTCCCCCATATTATGTTTATCTCTCTAGTCTTCTTCATTTCTTTATAATGAGAAGTATAAAGTTAACTAGGAACTCAGACCTAATTTGAATTACAAAAATGAACGTAGATTTAAAAATAAGTGTATGCACAATATATTTCTTTACTCTGTGACCTGAGAGGTCTTAGAAGCAATGACACCCCAGTAGCAATGAGCACACCTAGAACCCAGATCTTGGTTTCTAATACTGTTCTCCAGTAAAAGGGACCAAGGTTCATTGAAGAAATGCCTGATTTTAAGGCTGTGGCAGAGAAAGATAAGTCTGGAACATTGTAAAGTATTGGAAAGTAAGGAAGTGCTCAAACACACACACACAAAATGATGGGGGCATGTCAAAGGTAATAGGAGCCAACTAAAATAACTCCCAATAACCATAGCTAGAAGAATTTGAGCAACAAAATTAATGATATAGTGTTGGATTATATATAAAACAAATATCTGGGAGTCCATAATGATATATTAATAAGTAAATGATTGAATAAATCAATAAGTGAGGAGAAGAGACACATCTCCAGTGCAGAATTCCAAATAATTTGTATAGATACTCCACCCTCAAAAAGCTGGAACATACTTCCCACTCCTTAAGTGTGGGCTATGACCACACTTTCTTCCAAAGAGTACAGTATGTTAAGATGGGAAAAAGAATAACTATAGTGGAGAAACCTGACAAATGCTACCTCAGCCAGGTGATCAGATCAAGGTCAACATCAGTGATAAATCATGCTTGTAGCATTTGCCCTTGATATAATGTTAATCTGCAACTTTCTTAATTTTTCTGATATTACTATGTTTGGTTTAAAAAATATTTTATCTTCCCTGAAGGCTTCTAATTACAGGTAAAAACCAGTTCTCAGCTTTGTCTGAGCTAATGGAAAAAGTATGAAGCATGGTTTCTACCTTATGGTAACTCGGGAACTAGTGAAGGAAACAAGATCTAGCAAGCATGTAATTGAAATATAAATCACAGGACATGATTATACAGGATTTTTAAGTTAAGAAAAGCGAAGCATAGATATACTGAGACCTGGTGTAGCTAGAGAAAGTTTTCAAGAAAAATATTCTCTTCTGTTAATACTATCAGGATTTCTGGAAGAGAAAAATAATAGGAATTGATTTAGAGGCTCAATAATTCCCTAAATAGATGATTATCACCAGAAAACAAGATATATCTTTTTAAAACCATTACATTTTGTTTCTGTTGACCAACCTGAAATGCAAGATGACTAAATTAGTCATTTTTGAATCTCTTATGATAGATAATAAAATTGGTGACTCATTTAATCACCAGTGTGGTCAGAATTTATTAGAAAGACAACAAAATCATTGGATTGTATATGATACCCTGCATTTATTTGATGTGTAGACCTGGTTAAACCTTGGATTTTAAGCATTTGGATGTTATGTTGCTCTCTTTTGTTTTTCCTTTAGGCCTTTGTGCCGCCAAACTCTTAAATGAATATGGAGTTAACGTTTTGGTTTTAGAAGCTCGGGACAGAGTCGGCGGAAGAACACATACTGTGAGGGTAAGTGATTTTAATACTTACATGTAATAACTCACTCAAACTACAAGTGGCACCATTGGAAATCATAGGGCTAGGGGAGATCTCAAGAGTTCATGCAGTGAAGCCATTTGTCCTCCATAGCCCTAAAGTACTCCATCAAATAAGTGTCCATTCTCTTTAACAAGTACTCACTAAGACTGGCAGCTTCTGACTTTCAGTTGAGTGAATTCAATAAACATGAGCAAATACCTTCAATACAATGTCATAATTTCCATACTACAGATTTAATAGTTTGGCTGTACTGGAAGTGACTATACACCCATAACACACACACACATACACACACACACACACACACACACACACACACACACACTTAGATTCCTTATTTATCCAATGACACACAACTTAATAGAAATGTGGTGGCTGCAGTAAGCAGGAACAAATATAGTATGTTTTTACATAACTTTTCCCTTAACCCTTGTTCCCTAAGAAGCATGCTGCTGCCAGAGCCACTCCTCAGGCCGGGTCTGGCTAGATATAAGAAAGAAGCCCAGTTCTTGCTACATTGCTGCCTTTTTTATACTTGGACTTACACCACCATTCTAGAAAAAATGCATGCTATGTGTTATAGTGCAAAACAAGAGTTGCATCTTCTGCCTGTATGCCTTTATTAGATATGATTCTTCTGTCATTTTCTGAATAATATTCCTTCATTTTGGAGATAGCTATTAAGTTGTCCCTTTATTTAAGTTGTACTACTATTAAGGGAATGGATGCAGGTGGTTGAATCTGTGGGTACTGATGAAAGTACACAGGGAGATAATGAAAAGTGGGAGGGAAATAGGGGCAAAGATGGAAGTTTCCACACATAAAAGTGGGGGAGAAAGGGAGAAGAGCCAGAGAGACGCAGAAGAGGCAGAAAAGGAGGACCAGACTAGAGCAGCAATAGGTAAGTCTGTGGACCAAAGAGGAAGGGGTGTTCAGCAGTCAGCTGACACAGTATGAAGGCAAAAAAACAAAAACAAAAACAAAAAACCAGCCCTCGCATTTGACAGTTAGAAGGTCATCAGTCAGCCTTTTTGCTAGAATACACAAATAGAGTGTTAAAGTCTAGGGATTGGCAGTAAAGACGAAACCAGACTGTTGAAGTGACTGGAAAGAGAAGAAGCATCTATCCAACTAGAAGATGCTTCAGTTAGATTAATAACAGAATGGCATAAGCAATGCAAACATTTGTTTATTTCACAGAAGTCTGGTGGTAGATAGTCCAGGCTGGTGCACGGGTTCAGCTTTATTATCAACAGGCTCTTGCTGTCTTTCTGCTCTGATATTCTTTGTTTGTTTGTTTGTTTGTTTGTTGTTTGTTTGTTTGTTTGAGATGGTGTTTTGTTCTTGTGGCCCAGGCTGGAGTGCAATGACACGATCTTGGCTCACTGCAACCTCCGCCTCCTGGATTCAAGCAATTCTCCCGCGTCAGCCTCCCAAGTAGCTGGGACTACACATGCCCGCTACCATGCCCAGCTAATTTTTGTATTTTCAGTAGAGACGGGGTTTCACCATGTTGGCCAGGCTGGTTGCAAACTCCTGACTTCAGGTGATCCACCTGCCTCAGCCTCCCAAAATGCTGGGATCACAGGCGTGAGCCACTGTACCTGGCCCTGCTCTGATATTCTTTGCATGTTGGCTTATTGTCTTGTGGTAACAAGATGGATGCTGAAATTCTAAGCATCAAGTTCTCATTCAAAGCTGAAAGGAGAGTGAAAGAATGGCACCAACCTTGTCTGCAACAAAGCTTTTCCTTTGCTAAGAGACCCCAGCAGACATTTGCTTTAGTTTCATTGGCCAGAGTTGGGTCCCATGGCTACCTTCAGCTGTCAGGGATCCTGGGAAAGCAAGTATTTCACAATGCTAGGTTGCATAATAGAAGCAGGCATGTGAGAGGGAATATCAATGAATATTGGAATAGCATACAGACAACATTTGAACTAGGATATTGTACCAGTCATTTCAGCCACACTGTGCCATGCTACCCTTCTGTCATTTGCTTCCTACCTTTTTAGATGCAGGGATGTATCTAGGCCTATTCTGCTTTGCTCAGCTCTAAGGGTGCTGTACAGCCTTGCCATTCAAAGTGTCATCTGTCAGTTAGTAGCCCCTGAATCAACTGGGATTTTTATAGAAATGCAGAATCTCAGGCCCTATCTCAGACCTGCTGAATCTGGATCTGCATTTTGACAACATCTCCAGGGGACACTACAGAAGTGCTACTCTGTGGCATTTGTTTGCTTGCTTGCCTTAAATTAATGCCAATCCAGATTACATTTTCTGAGTACTCCCTTAGATGTAGTCCACTGGGAAGCTATTGGTCAGGGAGTGAGGGGACTGGGATTCTAACCTCTGTGCTGACTTGACATGATGTCTTGGGTAAGTCCTATTAGCACTTTACGTCTCAGTTTTCTCATCTGGGTAATACGATACAATCTAAATGTTCTTGAAGAAACTCTCTTCCATCTTCAAATTCTAATTTAAGGCAATGTGTTATAGTGCAAAACAAGAATGGCATCTTCTGCCTCTATGCCTTTGTTAGATATGATTCTTCTGTCATTTTCTGAAAAAATATTCCTTCATTTTGGAGATAGTTATTAATTTGTCCCTTAGCCCTATTTTTCTTATCTCTAAAACCTTTTGGTTATTAAACAGGAGCATCAGTCATGTTGCGGATTTTCAGTTAAGAACAAGTTTCTTTGTATAAGGGAAATGAGAATTCCAACATGCTTGTCCCCATCTGTGTTATTGGCCTCAGTTACTTTACCATGCTGTGTCATTTGTATATGTCAGCACCACACAGGAACCGTTATTGTCTACTCCCCTTAGGAATGTGAGAAAGGAATCTCTGAAATGCTTAGAAATTAGGACTTAGCATTTATGCTCCAAATGATGAGAAAAAGAAAAAGAGGATTTTAAGAAATAGGCATGGAAGTCGGGCATGGTGGCTCACGCCTGTAATCCCAGCACTTTGGGAGGCCGAGGCAGGTGGATTACTTGAGCTCAGGAGTTCAAAACCAGCCTGGGCAACATAGTGAAACCCCATCTCTACTAAAAATATAAAAATTAGCCGCGCACAGTGGTGTATACTTGTAGTCCCAGCTACTTGGGAGGTTGAGGCAGAAGAATCACTTGAGCTGGAGAGGCAGAGGTTGCAGTGAGCCAAGATTACACCATTGCACTCCAGTTTGGGTGACAGGAGTGAAACCCTGATTCAAAATTTTAAAAAATTCAAAAAAGGAAACAGGCATGAAAATCATATTTAATAAGAAACCGAAGCAAATATTTTTAGAATTGCTTCTAATAACATAATCAACTAGGATAATTTTGGGAAGAGATGTCATAAAAGCTACTGTGGATCTCTGAGCACCAGAATGTCAAATTTGGTATTACCCAGCAAGTCGTTCAGATGGATCTTCCATTAGTTCAGAACTTCCCAGTTTTTCCTAATATGATTCATCCATGAATCTTCAGAATGAAATTAATAAAGTTGAAATGTCTGCAGTGCTGCCACAGGGTTGGTGTATTTGTTTGCCAATATTGTTGCATGTTTGTGGGTTCTTCAAAGGTTGAGTAGTGAGATCTAAATCAAGACCCTAAAGACTGAGATGCAACATAGTATGGAATACAGTATTACACTTCTGGTGTCTTCATGCTGAATTTGAGGCACCTGATTTAGAATGTTTTTACTTCATAAAGCAACATTCTGCAAAATGCCTCTCTTTTTACTGCTTCATTTAGGATTATTTGCTTTAAAGATAGTGTCAGTGTTCTACAGACATCATGTTTGGAAACTCCCACGAGTCCTCTTGCTGTCTTTGTTAAAGTCCAGAAATTTATTGGAGTCCTGATTCCAGTTTTGTTCTTTATATCTTAAAATGGATGTTGGAGACTAGAAAACGTTTGGAGGAAAGCACTGACGGTTACTAAAAGAGAGAATAAACATTATATGAGGACAGATTAAAGAGGTCAAAGAAGCACTTAATTTCTGGTATCATGGCAGAACGGAAACCCTAACTCCTCATTGAAATAAGTAAAATGGTGAATACAATATGCTGTGCTAATCTGGCATGGAAGTTAGAAATTTGCAGAACTCCTGGATGTTGCATAGACATCTCAAACATAACACATCCAACACTAGACTTTTGATCTTCCTCAAGGCTGCGCTTCCAGCTGCCTTCCTCATGGTAGAGGATAGCAACTTTCAGGAAACTCAGAGTCATGCTCACCACTGCCAGACCCTCATTTGTTCTGTCAGGAAATTCTGTTGGCCCTGCCTTCAACACATATCCAGAATTCAATGCTTCCCATCAATTCCACTGCCATCCCCTGGTGGGAGCCACCATTATCTCTAGGCCAGATGACTGCAGTAGGCTCCTGATTTCCCTGCTTTTACTTCTGCCCCCTATATTCTATTCTTTTTTAAAGCATCAGTGAGAGTGAGCCTTTCAAATGCAAGTCAGATTTTAGCATTTCCCTGCTCAAAACCTTCCAAAGGCTCCCCTTCTCACAGGCAGTCAAAGCCTATGTCCTTACAATGTCCTGTGAGGCTTTAGGTGACCTGCCCTGCCAATAACCTCAGTAACCTCATCTTCAGTTATTTTCCTTGCTCTTGTTGTTCCATCCGCTTTGGCCTTCTTGCTATTTTTTGAACATATCAGCAGACTTCTGTGTTACAGACTTAAATCCATATTGCTAGAGGTTTTTGTTGTTGTTGTTGATTTTTTTTTTTTTTTTTTTTTTTTTTTTTTTTGAGACGGAGTTTGGCTCTTGTTACCCAGGCTGGAGTGCAATGGTGCGATCTCGGCTCACTGCAACCTCCGCCTCCTGGGTTCAGGCAATTCTCCTGTCTCAGCCTCCCGAGTAGCTGGGATTACAGGCACACGCCACCATGCCCAGCTAATTTTTTAGATTTTTAGTAGAGACGGGGTTTCACCGTGTTGACCAGGATGGTCTCGACCTCTTGACCTCGT